GGGAGGGGAAGGGAAAGGAGTTTGTAAGCTGCTCTGAGACTCCTTTGGGTAGTGAAGGGCGGGGTATAAATCCAATCTCACCCCCCCTCATAAGTTTGCTATGGCTGGTTTAGAATGAACCTACATGTTATGTGTAGTTCCATGATTATCCATAATTATTACTCTCAATGTTCTTTTATCAGTGCAGCTGTGGAAGCTGTGGTTTTATAGTAGGAGACAGGTGCATGGGGAGAATTATTAAAGTTCTTCGCCTTGTACCATTTTGCTGCTGAAAATCACTGTCTTCCAAACCTTTAATTTTGCCAGGAAAAATGTACAGCCACCTGTATTTCGAGATGTGGTTGTATGGTGTGATTGTGTCAGTAGCTGAAAATGTTACTTGGTTAATGATGTGCTAACCTGTTTTCCTTTTACAGGTTATTGTTGGTTAAAAAATGTATAGACTTGGTTTAGTATTGATGGAGGGGCTAAGAGTTCCTGTGGTAAAAGCTGATTGGCTAACACTGACAGATGGGGGCAGTTTGTTCGGGTTATTTTTATGGGTATTGCAGTTTACAGTGGGCTTCTGGAGAGGGAGTGAGAAGAATATGTGGGAAAGGAATGGGAGGAGTTTTTCCTTACCCATCTCAGAAAGTTCTTCTGTTTATTGCAGAAAAGAATAAGTGCCCAGCAGCACCTTAAAGACTAACAAAATTTGTGGCAAGTTATTATTAGTCTTAAATTTTGTACAGAGTAAATACTGTCTTGGATTTCATTAAATCAACCTCTCTAAGTAATCATTATAGTGTAAGTGTAATAGCAAAAAAGGAAAAGAGTGGGGTGAAGACTACTTTTTTTTTTTGCTGTTGTGGCAGGCGACTCCAGGCAAGAGACATTCAGAGGTGGTTTGTCATTGCCTTCCTCTGTTTGCATACCCTCAAAGACCATGTGACACTCTACTGGAATATCGTTCAAATATAATTTTAAGTTGTTTGGAGCTTTTGGGTCTCTGGTGGCAGTACTGTGGGACCCACAAGGACAATAAAACAGTATATTGGGCTGTAAGATGGAAGGAGAATGACCCATATTCCTCATAAAATGGTGTTAGCTTGATGAACTAAAAATATAAATGTAAAAAGGAACTTACAAAGTGTCACAGTGGGGCTCAGTACTTCTCAGCGTAATTCTGCTAGGAAATACAGTAGAGAAATGAAGAATTATTTGGTTTCCCAGCTTGCAATTAACAGCAATTCTGCTTCAGGCAGAAACTATTTACCAATTTTAAATTTTCTGCTGTACCATGAAGTCTTAAGTGTTTACCTTTTAAAACTGAAATTGCTATTCAGGAAGCCAAACTCTTTCC